CGTGGGACACCCATTTTTTCCTATTGTAAAACGAGCTCATCAGCTATACCTATGGCAATGACAGGGATTGTCATATTTGACAAAAAATCCATTGTAGAGAAAAGACTGATTTACCCAAAATAGCGAAAAATGACAAGAACTGTCAGTCGCCTGTCCCACTTTTCATGCTCACGACTGTACTTACTACTAAAAAATGTACCTACTGAAAATTTGAATATGTATAGTATATGTACTTGAAAAGTAGTTTTTGAAAAGTACTTACGTAAACTCGAGCATAAACTCTTTCTTATGTTATGTTATTTTCTATATAAACGCCATAAGGTCAACTTTTTATCTTATATTATGTTGTGTCTTTATAAACCCACCTTAATACATATTATTCCTTATTTTACTTAAAATATGTAGGAACTCTTAAGTACTTATTTGATATTCTAGTTTAAGTATTTTCTAGGAAATAATGCGTATACCTATAGGGGATTTTTTTTCTAGGCCTGATTTATTCATTCAGATAAACTTGCTAGTAACAATTTGCAAAACAAATTTAAAGTGCTATTTTTCTCTTGGTCGGTGGATAACTGGCTGACCAATGGCATTACAGATTACCTTTTTATCCATCAGATTGCTTACCTGATAATTTATCAGAAGCTGAATAAACCGGCCCTAAAACTGATAATGTGTTGCTATACAGGTTAAATTGCACTTCGAGTTAGTTACAATTACAAGTATACAGGGTGTATCACAAGAGTGTGGCGAAGTAAAGTTAAACTTTTTCAATTGGAACACCCCATATATTATTGAATTGGTTTAGCCTATCAATTTTGATTCTCAATATAGGTACTAGGTTTTTTTAGGTTTATTCTTCATAGTCTAACTTTTGAATATCCCATTTTGAAGAAATAATGTGGATCTTTTACTTGAATGATACTTATCTTTATATTTTGCTGGTGGTCTCTATACTTCACCATTTTCAATAAAAATGCAATTATTCCACCCCTTTTTTTCTTATTTTCTCCCAGCCAGGCATAAACCTAAAAAACCTAGTATTACATATTTGGAATCAGGTTTGAAAAGCTTATCCAATAAGTCAATAATATAAGATGTGTTCCATTTAAAAAAGTTTAGGATGTCAAGGGAATTGCCATGGCTAAATGACAATTATCCGTCATCTGAGTATTTAAAATAACTGTTTTTTCCTTACAATTACACAGTATTTGGACAATTCAATTAAAATACTTCTCTTTTCTCTTTTATTTAAAATCTTAACACAAAGATTTCAGGATCTGTTCCAGCTTAAGGCATTTTAAATTATTGGATATTATCACTATCAGTACTGTAGTAATCCTTTTTTTTTTGCAGTTCCAGGTGAAAATTACTTTACTTAGGAAATTCTAGAACGATCAACTTAGAAAAAAATGTCTCAAGAAAATAAAGGTAATAGTGATTCACATACATTATAACTGATATTATAATTAACTAAATCTTTAGGATCATCTTCAAAAAGTACATCAGATGTGCAAAGGCGCAGCAAAAAGAAAAGATCATCAAAAACACATAATTCAGATGTTGATTCAAATAAAAATCTCTCTGAAGATTCGGTCAAATCTTCAACAATTTCTATGGATTCGGCACAGAAAACACACCACGACAAAGAAAGTATATCAGTTAGTGAGGAAGAGAAAAAAAGATCTCCCAAGTTGGAAGGAAAAGGAGAAGATGAGAAAAAGCCCACAAAACATCGGCACAATGAGAATAAAAGAGCTAATTCAGATGTAGCTTCAAATAAAAATTCGTCACAAGAAATTTTGTTTGGAGATTTGATCTCATCAACAACAATTCCTAAAAACTCACCAGAGAAAACTCGCCATGAAAAAAGTACGAAAAAGAAAAAAAGATCCCCTGAGTTGGAAGGACAAGGAGAGAATAAGAAAAATTCAATAAAATGTCGGCACAGTGAAGACCTTTCAAACATTTCTAAAAAATATAATTCAGATGTAGAATCAAATGGAAATTCGTCACAAGAAATTTTGTTTGGAGATTTGGTCTCATCAATAATAGTATCTAGCGACTCGGAACAGAAAACAAGCTATGAAAAAAGTGTGAAAGAGAAAAAAAGATCCCCCAAGTTGCAAGGACAAGGAGAGGATATGAAAAAGTCAATAAAACGTCGTCACAGTGACGAACCTCTAAACGTTTCCAAAAAAGATAATTCAGATGTAGATTCAAATAAAAATTCATCACAAGAAATTTTATTTGGAGATTTGATCTCATCAACAACAATTCCTAAGGACTTGGCACATAAAACACGCCATAAACAAAGTGTGAAAGAGAAAAAAAGATCCCCCAAGTTGGGAGGACAAGGAGAGGATAAGAAAAAATCAATAAAACGTCGGTACAGTGAAGAACTTCCAGACATTTCTAGAAAATATAATTCACATGTTGATTCAAATCGAAATCTGTCACAAGAAATTTTGTTTGAAGATTTGGTCGAATCTTCAACAATTTCTATAGACGTAGCACAAAAAACACGTTATGAAAAAAGTGTAAAAGAGAAAAAAAGATCCCTCAAGTTGGAAGAACGAGGAGAGGATAAGACAAAGTCAATAAATAGTCGGCATAGTGAAGAACTTCCAGACATTTCTAGAAAATATTATTCAGATAAAAACCCGTCTCAAAAAATTACGTTTGTAGATTTGTTCTCATCAATGGACTCGACGCAGGAAACACGCCATGAAAAATGTATGACAGAGAAAAAAAGATTCCTGAAGTTGGAAGAACGAGGAGAGGATAAGACAAAGTCAATAAAGAGTCGGCACAGTGAAGAACTTCCAGACATTTCTAGAAAATATAATTCAGATAAAAACCCGTCTCAAAAAATTACGTTTGTAGATTTGTTCTCATCAATGGACTCGACACAGGAAACACGCCATGAAAAAAGTGTGACAGAGAAAAAAAGATTCTCGAAGTTGGAAGAAAGAGGAGAGGATAAGAAAAAGTCAATGAAACGTCGGCACATTGAAAAACCTCTAAACATTTCTAAAAAAAGTGTGAAACGTTCTATAACTTCTACCAAAGAAAATGTATCAGAGAGAGATTCAAGAACAAAAAAACCACCACAGGACACTATGTTGAAATGGTTGGAGTCACCTTCAAACAATAGGCCAAGTACTTCCAAAATCACATCACCAAAAAGAAGGAAATCTTCAGAAAACGATACGCCCAAAAAAATGTCACATGACAAAAAAAGACACATTAAAAAGGAAACCAGTGAAAATGGTTTAAAATCATCACAAAATATTATGTCCAACTGGTTGTCGCCTGGAACTCCTAAAGTCCTAAATTCATCATTAGATATTATAACAATTTCCCCTGAAAAAACTAAACATCTCAAACATGACAAGAAAAAACGAAGAAAACATAAGAAAAATAAAACAATGTCTCAAGAAACTGATAAATCTAAGGAGAATTTGCCAGAAAAGTCATCACAAGCTATTTTATCAGGATGGTTGGGGTCCCCCAAAACACCAGAATCAATTAATGCAAAACATAAAACAAAATCTCATAAGCATAAGGAAAAACCTCCAACACAGCTTATGTCTCTTAAAGCTTTGGAGAATTTAAGTCGAGATAAGCTGAGGAATTTAACCATGCAACAAATTTTTGGTCCTGACACATCTTCAGCAGATGCACCAACTGCCGCCAAAGAAAACATATCAAAACCACGTAAAAAGCGCAAAAAATCTTCTCCTGATATTGACGAGTTACCAACATTCCAAGCCAATTTACCTAAACAATCAGAATCGTTTAAAAAGTACGGAGTGGTGATTCCTACAGTTGAAGAAATTTTAGCTGAGCGAAAGAAGCACTTAATTTATAAAACCCTAGTTAATAAAGCTAAAGTTATACCGCTTTTGCCTAATCCGTTTGATAATTTACTAAAAGAACCAGTTAAATTACCAATGAAGTTATTAGATTGCAAACACTTGAGTTTAGAAGAAATCAAGGAACAATTCAATAAAAACAAAACAATTTTGGAAAACATAAAAAACGGAACAGAATATTCGGAGAAACACCAGAAATTTCACAAAAATAATTCAATCTTGCCATATAACCCCAGCAATTTGGTGTTTGCTTATAAGCAAATAAATTGTATGGCGGATTTAATAAGGGAAGAATTTGATCCTAAGGAAAAGCATCTTAGGTATACCTTTGCGGTCCTTATTCCTGAATTATGCTTATTGATTTTTATGGATACGCATCAAATGACTAAAGACGAAACTGTTAAGTATTTGGAGGAACGTCCTATTGACTAAATATTTTTGTTTGTGATTTTCAATGTTTGTTTGTTGAGCAGCTTGGATATTTTGGATAATAATTTTCAGGAAGAAGTTCAAAAATAAGTTTGCAGAGAAGAATTGGAAATCATTATTACAGAGAAATTCGCAAAATATTCTCTATACCAAACATATTTTTGCATTGTCAATCTGTTGGTCGTGAACAATATATTCAAGCTGTTGTATATCCATGAGAAATTAGTTTATTTTTGTTTAAAACTGTTATGTTTTTTTTTTTTTTGTTAGAAGCCATTTGGCATTTATTTGTAAATAAAATCCCAGCAAGAGGTGACCTCACACTATTATCCTGAACCTGTGATTTTATAGAGATAAACCTGATATCCTAAGGTTTTTCCATGATTATCTTTGACTGTTTACTAGAAAAATATTAAGTTTAGTTAGTTTTTGAAATTATTTAGTAGGTATCCCCCATAGATTTACATCTGAATATTATTCTCATACTCAAACCTCTTCAGGATTTTATTATGTTTGAATTTCTATTTATTTAGCTATATTATTAATCCGTTCCAACAGTCAATATATTTGTTTAAATTTGAACATAAACTGTTTTATTTATAATGCAAATTGAGTAATTCCTTGCTCGATTACCTTATCTATTCGATAATGTTGTTTTTTCAAACATCAACTAATAATAAAATCAAGTCAGGTCAAGTAAGCATTTCAATACGAGAAATGTCTGTGATAAGAACTCTATTAGTTTTAACTTCAGGTAGTACCAAAACTATTGTTTTAAGACGTGCAATGTCTTCAAAATCCAGTTTCCTAATAAACAATCCAAAATACGCTTTCCTAAAAGAATTAGGCTTGAGCGAAACCAATTACGGAGTGTACGATGGACAATGGAAAGGCTCTGGAAAAGTAAGACATTTAATATTTTTGTCCTAAACTTAACTATATTATTAAAGGTGGCTCAATCTGTTTGTCCCAGCAATGGCGAAATAATAGCTGAAGTCCAAGAAGGTTCGGTAACAGATTACGAATCCTGCATAAAGTCATCAGAAACAGCTTGGAAAGTTTGGAGTGATTTGCCTGCACCGAAAAGAGGCGAAATTGTCAGGCAAATAGGAGACGCTCTTAGGATCAAGCTCTTACCATTGGCTAAACTAGTTTCATTAGAAATGGGTAAAATCTTACCAGAAGGCAAAGGCGAAGTTCAAGAGTACATAGACATTTGCGACTACGCAGTCGGTTTATCCAGAATGCTTTCGGGATCGGTTATTCCATCCGAAAGACCTGGACACGTTTTGCTGGAAAACTGGAACCCTTTAGGCACCATAGCTGTGATATCAGCTTTTAATTTTCCAGTTGCTGTGTACGGCTGGAATAGTGCAATAGCTATGGTGTGCGGAGATACTGTTATTTGGAAAGGTTCTGAAACTACTCCTCTGGTATCAGTAGCAACAACCAAAATTGTTGCTGAGGTTTTGGAAAAGAACAACTTACCAGGTGCTGTAGGGGCACTGTGTTGTGGTGGTGCTGACATTGGAAAAGCTATGGCTAAAGATGATAGAGTTAAATTGTTGTCTTTTACTGGAAGTTGCCAGATTGGACAAAGCGTAAGTAATTTACTCAATTATTGTACTTCATTTTTTGATGATTCTTTTAGGTTGGTGTTGAAGTTCAGAAGCGTTTTGGCAAATCTCTTTTAGAATTAGGAGGAAATAATGCTCTGATTATAGCAGACGATGCTGATTTAAAAATGGTAATACCTGCCACTTTGTTTGCTGCTATCGGTACCACTGGACAACGTTGTACCACAACTAGAAGACTGATTTTACATGAAAAAGTGAGAATTTTTTTATTTAAAGAATGAAGTTTTTCACGGCCGGTCAAATCTAGTAAAAAAAGTTTTTTCCGGGATATTATAGTAATATTTCTACATAACGTTTCGTCTACTGCTGCGGTAGACATCTTCAGAGGCGGTGTGGTAGAGGGCGAAGTGTTCTCCTTCCGTGTTCCTCCGATGATTAAAGTACCTGTATCTCAAAAACTAATCATAGGATTGGTTCAGGCCCATGAGAACTTTTTATCAGGAAGTCAAGGTCTATCACATATCAAAATTTCATTCAGTTTGACAGAAAACCAAAAACCCATAAGAGGGGTCCTTTTCAAAATTTTCCCTCTGCTAGTTTTCCAGAAAAAAATTAAAATGTAAGAGGATGAATTTTCCTTAATTTTGCTTAATTAAGTCAATTTTTCCTGAGTGATTTTTTAATGAAAAATTTTGAAATTTTGCCCTAATGAGTTCTTCACTTTCCTCTTTTTTCTGGAAAACTGGAAAATTTTGAAATTTTTATATAGAGCTCCTCATTTTTTTTCTTTCTCCTGGAAAAATTTCACAAGTTTTGTTTTATTAGTTTTCCAGAAATAAATTGAAATGTGAGAGGATGAATTTTCCTTAATTTTGCTTAAATAAGTCAATTTTCCAGAATTTTTCCTGAAGTGATTTTTCACTGGAAAATTTTGGAATTTTGCTTTAATGAGATCTTCACTTTCCTCTTTTTTCTGGAAAATTTTCGGGGATAATACCACGAGAGCTTCAAAATTACCGATAATTTTTCACGATTGCGTGTTTTCTATAATTTCACGAGTCCGTAGGACGAGTGAAATTTGCAGAGAAAACACGCATGAGTGAAAAATTATCTGGTTCATTTTAAAGCTCAAGTGGTATTTTATTTAGAGGATTATTTCACGTATGAGAATGCAAAAAATATGGAAATAAATATGTATTAAACGATTTGAACATCTTAACAATCAATACAAATAAATGGTTGCTATCAGGAACCGTTTGTTTGTATCAAAAATTAGCATGACAACCATGTATACAATAACATGGGAGAATTATCGCTGTAATTCTCTCTAGTTAAACAAATGGAAAAGAGAATTTTCGCTGTTATTCTGAAAATTGTCACTTGTCTTATGGGATTTCTAACACATGAGTGGAATAATCACAATTATCCTTTTTCCAGTTTTCTAGAAAAAAATAAAATGTAAGAAAATGAATTTTGCTTAAAAAAAAATCAATTTTTCCTTGGTTTTTGCATTTTCGAAAAACTCATAATTTTCGTAATTCATCCGTAACTTTTTCGTAATTTTCCCATAACTTCAAAAATCATAATTTTTTCGTAATTCCCGTAATTTTTTAATTCTCCCAATTTTTTAAAAAACTTCGTTATTTTTAAATTCCCCCCCCAAGTTTTGTAATTTTCATAATTTCAAAAATTCGTGATTTTCGCAATTCCTATAATTTTTGTAATTTTTGTAATTCTCTTTATTTTTATAATTCCAGTAATTTTTCGTAATTCCTGCGTAACTTTTCAAAAATTGCGAAAAAGTGAGTGTCAAAATCGCAAGAAAATGACGTTGGAATTACGGAAAATAGAAGTAAAAATTACAGAAAAATGAGGTTGGAAATGTTGGAATTGCGAAAAAGTTGAGTAAAAATGGCGGAAAAGCAAGGTTATAATCGAGAAAAAATGAGGTTATAAATACGAAAAACAAAAGTAAAGATTTTGGAAAAATTAGGTTGAAATTGCGGAAAAGTGAGGTTATAAGTACTTGTTGAAAAATCAGGCAAAGTTCCTTAATTTTTCGTAACTTTCCAAAATTCATCGTAATTTTTCTGTAATTCCCGTAATTTTTAAATAATTCCTGTTGTTTCTCAAATTTTCGTAATTTTTTAATTTCTGTAATTTCTCAAAATATTCAGTTACTTATTTTATAATTCCCCCTAAGTTTTTGTTACTTTCAAAAATTCGTAATTCCCGTAATTTTCAATTTTTTTTTTTGTGAATTTTCATTATTTCCGTAATTTCTCAGATAATTCTTCCTATTTCTATAATTCTTCCTTAGTCATTGTAATTCATAGAAAACTCGTAATTTTCGTAATTCCCGTAACTTTCCAAAAATTATCGTAATTTTCTCGCAATTCCCGTGATTTTTCCTTATCTCTTTCAATTTTTATATTTCCTGTAGTTCCTCAAATTTTCGTAATTTTGTAATTTCCGTAATTTCTCAAAAAACTTCATTATCTTTATTATTCGCCCTCAGTTTGTTGTGATTCTCAAAAATTGGTAATTTCCGTATTTTTTTTTTCTTGGAATTTTCGAAAATTCTCAAATTCCCGCCATTTCTCAAAAAATTCTCGTTAATTTCATAATTCCTCCTTAGTTTTTGCAATTTTCGGAAAATTCGTAAATCCCGTAATTTTTTGTAACTCTTGTTATTTTCGTAATTTTTTGAAAATTGTCACAATTTTTTTAATTCCTGTGATTTTTTCGTATTTTTCATAATTTTTGAATAATTCCTGTAGTTTTCAGATTTCCGTTATTTTTTAATTCCTGTAATTTCTCAGATAACTCCGTTATTTTATAATTCCGAAATTATGTAATTCTCGTAATTTTCGTATTTTATTTTGGGAATTTTCGAAATTTTGTAATTCCTATCATTTTTCAGATAATTCTCGTTATTTTCATAATACCCCCTTAGTTTTTACAATTTTCGAAAAACTCGATTATTTTCGTATTTTTTTTAATTTTCGTAATTCCTCAAAAAAATTCCGTTAGTTTTATAATTCCCCCTTAATTTTTGAAATTTTCGAAAGTTGATAATTTCCGTTTTTTTTTTTGGGGATTTTCGAAATTTTTTAATTCTTGTCATTTCTCAGATAATTCTTGTTATTTTCTAATTCCCCCTTATTTTTTTCAATTTTTGGAAAACTTGTTAATTTTCATTATTCCCGCAATTTTTCGCGCTTTTCCCATCGTGATGTTTTCGTAATTCCAGTAATTAATTATTTGTATTTTCAATTTTTTAATTTTCCTAATTTCCAAAAAAAATCGGAATTTTCTAATTTTCCCTAAGTTATTGTAATTTTCGTAATTTCAAAAACTTGTGATTTCCGTTATTTTGGGAATTACCGTAATTCACGTAATTTTGAAATAACTGTAATTCTTTCTCGTAATACCTGTAATTTTTGTAATTTTCGTAGTTTTTCTCAATTCCCGTAATTTTTATAATTTCTCATAATTCCCGTAAATTTTCGTCATTTCCGTCATTTAATTTTGGAGTAACTTCGTAATTCTTTTGTGTAATATTTGGCAATTCCCATAATTTTTGTAATTCCCGCAATTTTTTGTTATTCCGTGATTCTCGTAAATGTTTGCAATTCTCATAATTTTTTCAAAAATTACCTATCGTTATTCTCGTAATTTTGAAATGAGGAAAAATGAGGATAAAATCGCGGAAAGTGATGATAAAATCGCAAAAAAAAAGAGTCAAAAATCGCAAAAAAAAATATGAGTAAAAAATTCCAAAAAAAGTGAGTTTAAACTCGCAGAAAAGTAAGATGCACTGAAAAATGAGGATAAAGTCATGAAAAGTGAGGATAAAATCGCGGAGAATGAAATAGAATAAATCGCGGAAAAGTGAGTAACATCGCAAAAAAAAGTGAGACAAGAATCGCGGAAAAATGAGGATGAAATAGCGGAAAAATAAGTTTGTAATCGCCGATATGAGTGAGGGTAAAATCGCAAAAAAGTGAGGATGAAATCGCAAAAAAGTGAGGCTAAAATCGCAAAAAAAGTAAGGACAAATTCGCAAAAAAGAGAGTCAAAAGTCGTAAAAAGAGCCAAAAATCGCAAAAAAGTGAAGACAAAATTGCAAAAAAGTGGGTCAAAAATCGCCAAAAAAAATGAGTCAAAAATTTCAAAAAAAGTGAGTGTGAATTCGTGAAAAAGTGAGATAAGAATCGCGGAAAAATGAGGCAATATTTGCGGAAAAGTGGGTTCACAATCCCGGAAAAGTGAATTTAGAATCGCGGAGAAGTGATAGTAAAATCTAAGATTTCTAAATTATGACGTCATCGATGACGTAAGTAAGTACAAAAACTACAAAAAAAAATAAATAATTTGGTTGCACTGATTTTTTATATTAGTTTTAGGTTTAGGTAGTACCACTGTCGGTATAATCTGTTTTTTTTTTTTTTAAGATAATTCCCCAAGTCAAAAATTTAGTAACTAAACTACTCAAAACAAAATAAGGACCACTTTTAAGAGCATCTTGGTTTTTATGAAATTTTGAATAACCCTGGTAGAGTGATTATTTCGATTCACAATATAGGGTGAGTTCGGTTTGCTCACTCCGTGCACTCGGAGTGACTCCATTCGCACTCCAGCCGTTCGGGTATTGCTTTTTACGGTATTAGTGGTGACTCCATTAGCTCTGTTCACTCCACTCCAATTCCGCGTTGAATAGCCGAACTCAGCTATAGATAAACAAATAAAGTGTGCACACATTTTTTTTATTGTGAATGGAAATAAACACTTTACCAGGGTCATTCAAAATTCAATAAAAATAAACGTGTTTTTAAAAGTGGTCCTTATTTCGTTTTGACTAGTATATGTTGGCAACACAAGCCTTTTCTACATAAAAAATTTGAAAGCCTTGACAATTTTACATTGTATTGCCAACATAATGTCATTTTGACTTTTATCATCTATGCTTTTATCTTAAAAAAAAAAATTCTTCGAATCTTCAGGAATTTCGGAACGACTTTCGAGTCTCTGCATCTTTTTAGAAAAGCAAAGGGAGCCTAGAGAATGGGCTTTTTTCTTGCGTAAGTTTTCCAAGCGTGGAATAAGTCGTGGTGTTTCCTCCTCGTAGAGGCGTTAAAATAAAGAATGAAGGCTTTCACGGCCGGTCAAATCTAGTCAAAAAGTTTTTTTTACAAGGAAAATAGCGTAATGCAAGCCACGCCCACAATCCTGGATATAAATAACGCAGGTCCAACAACATCGAATCCAGAATCAACCACACCGCCTCTGAATATGTCTACCGCAGCATTAGACGAAAAGTTAGGCAGAAATATTACTAGACCACGGCATATTATAGCCCGGGAAAAATTTTTTTACTAGATTTTTTAAATTGTTCATCAAAAATTTTCTGGCAATATTTATTTCAGATATACGATGAAGTATTGGAAAAATTAAAAACAGCCTACAGTCAAGTTTTGAACAGGATTGGAGATGCTTTAGATGAAAGTGTCCTTATTGGTCCTTTACACAGTCAAGTGTCTTTAGATAAATATAAACAGACTATAGATTTGATTAAAAAACAGGGTGGTACTATTGAATTTGGAGGAAAAGTAACTAAACAAACAAAAACTGGACTCATATTTTTTAAACTAAATTATTTCAGGTTCTAGATAGGCCAGGTTTCTTTGTAGAACCCACTATAGTAACCGGAATTAGTCATAAACACGAACTGGTGCACAATGAATGTTTTGCCCCAATTTTGTATGTTTTGAAGGCTTCCAGCGTTGAAGAAGCCATTTCGTGGAATAACGAAGTGCCCCAAGGGTTGTCTTCCAGTATTTTCACACAAAATATTTCAAATATATTCAAAGTATGTATGTTTTTGCATCTTAAACGCTGTTACTTTAATTGTAAATATTTCATCAGTGGATTGGTCCAAAAGGTTCAGATTGCGGCATTGTAAACGTCAACATTCCAACTTCTGGTGCTGAAATAGGTGGGGCGTTTGGAGGCGAAAAACACACAGGAGGTGGAAGGGAATCTGGAAGTGATTCTTGGAAACAGTATATGAGAAGGTCTACAATCACCATTAATCATTCCAAGGAGTTGCCGCTGGCACAAGGGATTAAATTTGAATAAGAGAGGAGATTTTTTTTACTCAATTTAAAATTGTATATTACTAAGTAAATGTAGTTATGAATAAAATAAAAATATGGAAAAAGAAATTGTATACACTGTCAATATTTTTTCTCTTAAAATTTATAGAATTTAATCAAAGTGTTAGGAGCTCTCAATCCAATAATGTATCCAGGAAATTTTTTCGGGATGGTTTACATCAGCGTTATTTGTATAAAGATTTTAAAAAAAAGTGAGACTTATTTCTAGGAAACCATTCATTTACGCCATATACCGGGTGTTTTTCAAAACCCGCTCACCCCTATAACTTTTTTATTTTTTCAATTAAACAAATGAAATTTGGTGTGTTTATTTATGACCCGGATGTGCATTATTTGACGTATTCAATTTTTTACTATCACTTCCGGTTTGACCGGAAGTGATCCTAACTTCCTTATTTTAAATGAGACGCCAGGTAAATTTTTCCTCATTTCAATAGAAAAGTACATTACGAGTACGGGTGGTTGATTTTCGATAGTTTGATAGGGTACAGCCAAAATGGCCGAAGATATACTGAGAAACTGATATACGCTTCTCATCCTCTTTTTTAGTGTGTCATTTGATGGTGTAGTCAGATCTTGGCCGACAATATTGGTTTGCGAGGTACAGGGTGTTTTTCAAAATCAGCTGTTTTTTATAATCCTCTATAACTTCGTACCCGACGGAGATATAGAAAAAGTACAGAAAAGATAAATACGTCTTTTTTTACGTAGAATTCAGTGGCGTACTTAGAAAAAATATGGGGGCTTTATCTTCTGAGATATTTGAAAAAACAAAGATTTTTCAAATGGAACACCCTGTATCTTATTGGTTCAGTAGTTTGAGAAAAAAATTGCGAGTTCGACGATATATAACACATGATATTTTGTTTTAGTCTAAATAGCGAAAGCAACAAAAAACACTTTTTTCTACTACCGTGCGTAAAGTACTCACTTTACGAACTATTCAGAATACGTAAAATTTCACTTCACGCACAAGTGTGTAAAGTAATTCACTTCGCACACTAGTGCGTAAAGTAATGTCAATGACAGATGTCGACACTCTCAATTTAGTATTTTTCTGGTAAATTACTTCACGCTCCAGTGCGTAAAGTGAAAATATTTTCCGCACTAGTGCGTAAAGAATGTATTTGTCTAAATTTATTTTTTTACACATATTTGATTGGTAGTAGAAAAAAATTTGTATGCAATACGTATAGCACCTTTTTTCACCAATGTGAATTATGACGCAGGAGCCGAAGGCGAGTTTGACAATCACATTTTACACACTTGTTGCATAAATAACTATTTTAGGGAAAAATTAGAAACAAAAAAAAAAATCTAGAATTTTCGAATTTTCAAATTTTCAAAGCCAAAAAAAATCTGGGATTGAATTTTTGGAAACTTTAAAAAAAAAAAAAAAAAAATCTGGATGCATTTTTGAAACAAAAATGACAAATTTCAAAAAAAAATTCTGGATTTTTTTTTTCAAAACATGAAAAATTCTGGAATTTTCTTTCAAAAAATAAAAAAAAATTGCTTTCAAGGAAAAGAGCTGAAATTTAATTTCTGGAAAAATTTTGATAAAAAAATTCCGAATGCTTTTTTGAAGGAAAAATGACAAATTAATTTCTAAAACTTTAAAAAAAATTCTGGATTTTCCTTTGAAAAAAAAATTTTGGAAAAATAAAATTCTGGAATTTTCTTCCAGGAAAAAAAAATAAAAAATTGGAATTTTATTTCGGAAAAAATTATAAAAAAAAACTGAAGGGAAAATTTCGAGAGAAGAAAAATTTCAGAATTTTTCTTTTTCGAAATTTATCCTTCAAAAAAGTATCCAAAATTTTTGTTCAAAAATACATATTCCTGAAATAAAATTCCAGATTTTTTTTATTTTTATTTTTCCATTAAAGGTTTTTTTTTTTTTGAAATTTTTCCTGAAAGAAAAATTACAATTTTTTTTTATTTTTTGAAAAAATATTCCAGAATTTTTTATTTTTTGAGAGAAAATTCCAGAATTTTTTTGGAAATGTGTCATTTTTCCTTTAATTTAAAACTCTGGAATTATCTTTAAAAAAATAAAAAAATCAGGAATTTTCTTTCAAAAATTGAAAAAAAATTAGAATTTTCTCTCAGGAAAAATTGAAAAGAAGAAAATAAAAATATGGAATTTTATTTCAGAAAGTTTTAGAAATTAATTTGTCATTTTTCCTTCAAAAAAGCATTCGGAATTTTTTTATCAAAATATCAAATTTTTTCCAAAAATTCAATCCCAGATTTTTTTTGGCTTTGAAAATGTGAAAATTTGAAAATTCGAAAATTCTAGATTTTTTTTTTGTTTCTAATTTTTCCCTAAAATAGTTATTTATGCAACTGCGTAAAAGAGTGTAAGAATCGTTTTGAAACAACAATATATTCACAAATACTGGATAACGGCTGATATTAGACAAAGAATGCATGTTAGAGATAGTTTGTATGTGAGAGCCGTTAGGGAAAACAACGATGAAATCTGGAGAGAATACAAAAGAGTGCGAAACTCCATAGTAAGTCAAATCAAATTTGAAAAAGATAGTTACTATAGAGAAATTATTGACGCCAATAAAACTAATCAACGTGAAATGTGGAAAAATTTGAAAACACTACTTCCTGGAAAAAATTCGACAACGCCTAATGAAATTAAGTTTGAAAATGAACTAGTATCAGATGAAGTGATAATTGCCAACGAATTTAATAAATATTTCATAAATAGTATTCAAGAAATTATAAGCAGTATTCCAACGTATCCCTACCAGTGAATACCTTAACGCAACCCCTGATGTTCAATACACTGAGTTTTCATATTTCAAACAAATATCTATATCTGATATAAAAACTATATTGAAAGATATGAAAAATGTCGGGGGTGGTGAAAAAGGAATTTCCAAAAAAGTTTTGTGGGACGTATGTGATGCGGTTGGAAACCGTTTGTTGGATGTTGTGAATGTATCGCTTTCAAATGGCGAGTTTCCCGAAGCATGGAAAGAGTCGATTGTGATTCCTGTACCTAAGGTGCAAAATACTTGTCTTCATAGCGAATTTAGACCAATAAATACTGTTGAGGTTTATGAAAAAGTATTGGAACTGGCTGTGAAAAGTCAATTACAAGATCACTGTGATAGGAATAACATTTTGGTTATGAATCAGTCGGGTTTTCGGGAACGTCATTCGTGTGAATCTGTAGTTATTAATATTTCTGATAGTTTTTGAAACAGATAGATAGGGGTAATTTTGTTTTGGCAGTATTTCTTGATTTCAAAAGAGCATTTGAAACTGTTAATAGAAACATCCTGATAGAAAAGTTGAAAAGCATTGGTATTGGTCGCAAAGTGTTGAAATGGTTTCAGTGATATCTAACCAATAGACAACAGAAAGTTAAATTTGGAAATAGTTTCTCAAACTCCTTACAAGTTCAGCATGAAGTACCGCAGGGAACTGTTCTGGGTCCCTTATTATTCTTGCTGTACATAAATGATATAGTTAATGTTGTGAACGATTGTAAGGTTGAGTTGTTTGCTGATGACACGATGATTTATTTAGCTGGAAGGGATATAGTTCGTATGCAGGAGATTGTCAACAGTGATTTAAATAACTTGTTCAAATGGCTTTGCAATAACAACCTTTCTATTAACACATCAAAATCAAAATTTTGTTTATTTGGGAGAAAGAGCAGATTGGCAGATTTTAACTTGGAGAACGTTGTTAGTATTATCATAAATAATGTTAAAATAACACATGAAAAACAAATTCAATATTTGGGAGTCATATTTGACTCTCATTTAAATTTTTACGAGCACGCAGATTACATAACAAGAAAGTTGGTTTTATTGCAAGGGTAGGGAGTCAATTGTCACTGGGTACAAGATTGTTATTCTATAACAGCATTGCAGCACCTCATCTCCAATTCTGTTCTTCACTTTTGTACAATTTGCCTAATTTCAAAGTTGAACAATTGCAACTTGTGCAGAACAGGGCAATGAGAACTATTTTAAAATGTAATAGATATGCACCAATTGCCACAATGCTCAATGTATTAAACATGCTATCTGTGAAACAAAAAATTGTATTTTGTGTCCATGTATTTTTATTTAAAATTAAAAACAAAATGTTACCACCATACATTTGTAATAAAATAAAGTTTTTTGAAGAGGTACATAATTATGATACACGAAATCGTTCTGATTTTATATTGATGGATAAGTGTAATTCTAGTCAAATGCTCAATTCTGTACTGTATAAGAGCTTGTACGATTTTAATATGTTACCTAATTCTATAAAAGACTGTGATAACATAAATGTTTTTAAAAGATTAGTGAGATCTCATTTATTAGCATAGTTTAAGGTTACCTCTTTGTATTTATATTTGTTTTTAATTGTACTTGTTTCATTTTTTATATACACATATATGTATTTATTTATTTTTTATCGAACTATTATTATTAATTGTTTTTAACCTTTTGTTATGGGGCGCCATATGTTCCATAATTATTTCGTCTTATATGTAAAATATTTTGCAGGAAAAACAATATATAGATAAAAATGACCACTATTTTGCATATATTTAAAATAAAAAATAATATTTATATCGAATTTAGCAGCATGCAAAGTTCGATATACCTATATAAAATAACTATGAAAAAATAAATATATTGAATTTGACCCATGCAAAATTCAATATTTATAAAATATGAAAAAATATTATTTATATTGAATTTGGCATTGTGCAAAGTTCGATGTAAAACTTTTTAGTTTGAAAAGTCCCCGAGAGATGGCGCTACCTTTGATCATAATTTTTGTTTGTGTATGGTGTGTTGGATTGAAATAAGGTAGGATTTTGGACAGCCGTTGATTTGTAATTTAAATAGCTGCAATTAGGGTGCATTGATAATTGCGTGATGAAAATTATGTATTGTCATAAGCGCGGCAACGGCAACACTGGTGAATGATAACTGAGGTTGTGTTGTGTTCCTTTCCTTCCGTTTGAGTGCCCGCCGCGCTCGCGTACCGCTTAAAGTTTGTTTTTTATTTAAAGAT